ACCAGGTTCTCAGCTGGTATAAACACAGAGGTGCTGGCAAGAACAGTGTTAGACTTGTGGAAATTAGGAGATCATTTAGATCTTATACTGCAGACCCCTCCTTCACAACATAAATGGACTGGTTAATCAAGAACTGAAACTGATATAGCAACTGCAAAAGCAATTTATGCCCATATTTCCGGAGGCTGACAAGGTCATTAGGCTACTTTCTGTAAGTGTCACTCTAAATACTTTCTTTTTTTTTTTTTTTTCATTATATCTGTTTTCCTCCTTTAAATTTCATATACCTGATCCCAGCCTAAGCTAACTGAACCTCAGATACTAAATTAACAAACTCTATCAGAAAGAGAGAGTATAACAGACTTAACACTTAACATCAGAGTCGAGAGCAGCCATGATGGTCACGGGAGGTTTACAGAGCAGCTTCCTCACCATATGCTGCACGGCACCACTAGCACAGCCCACTTTATATCCATGGAAGATATTTACTTTCCTTGCACCTGTCTGCCTGCACCCCATGTTCCATAAAAATATTCAGCTCATTTATTTAGACTGTAAGTACTTTGAGACATGGGCTAGTTGCTGCTTGATGGCTGCATGCTAATAAGAACAATATAGCTTATTGCTGTTTGGGCTCAAGGCAAAATGGTAATGAACATTTCGGTAAAAAATAAACAATCATGTAAAAGCCCTTTGTTTCCATGTCTCATTAATTAATACTGTATGTGTTCAAACTGTACTGTAAAGGCTTTTAAACAATCAGCTGTTTATAGAATTTATCATCTGCAATACAAACTATACAATTCATATCAAATAGATACGTATGTATGAAATAAATGAGCTGAATAATTTGTCCCCAGTAATAGCTTCACTACATTGACAGTTATTTTCCAATATTATACATGCTTTCCACTATCTATTAGAATCCAACACTTTCTAATTCATGAGCAAGGTTCTTTAAGATGCTGTTCCAAACTCTCTACATGAAACTGTAGTGCTTGTGCTACAGTTTCCCCCCTGTGCTAACCCTGCGTTAGGGAACGATGTTCATATGGGGTACCAATGCCATGACTACAGTTTTCCCTTCAAACTTCCAAGTACTGTTTTCCAAGCAGTAGCAGCATAGGAAGTATTTAATATCTGCACAAATATGTGAAGCTGCAGAAACTGATTACAGTGGAAGCTTTGGAGGGCATAACCAGATAATTCTGCATTTGAAAGCCACCACAAATTATCAAACAGAGAGAAAAAAACCTCTTTATTCTATCCATCCTGTACTAATCAATCACATATTCACAAATAACTGAACATAAAAGATAAAAATTTCTGAAGAACTCAAATGACAACTCTTCCTGAGTTCTGACAAATAAGATACTGACCCTGCAACTGAAATAAAAGAATGGACTTGGATGAGACGACAGACAAGAACACGTTAAATTATAAAGGTATTTTTTTAGTCAAGACTCCTTCCTCTTATTCATAAACAATGGACTGATTCCCAAAACAGATATCTTATTACTCAAGGGAAAGGGATAATGTAGAAATTAAAAATTTTAATCCTGATGGTGTCAGCCTTATTCAAAACTGCCTCCTCTGACCCCATAAGAAACAGCCCTCAACACTTGCATAACGTCTTGATAATCCTCCTTATCCAAAACAAACAAAAAAAAATGGATTTGTGATATGAGACTTTTTGGTCTGGGAGAGATAAAAGATGCACACATTGGGACACAAGATTGCCCACAGAATCACAAATGGCCAAGAAACCTCATGAGGGTCAAAAAGGACAGCTGACTAAATTAATCATAAATTTGGTGTTAGCTGCCTTTCAGAGGGCCCATGCAGTAATTTCAAGGTAAATGCACTACAGACTGTGTCACAAGAGCTGGGTGTTGTATGATCAGAAAGAAAATGCTTTTAATGTTCTGATGAATTGGTGGTAACCACTACATAGTCAATTAATTGCCATGCAAAACATTAAAGTGCCTTCCAAATTCTGAACAAGATTTTTTTGTGTTTTTTTCTGGATCTTAGTAAGACTGGAATATGGATTTGTCTATTTCCAGGCAAAGCAATGGAACAAATCATCATTGCTTTAGACAGCAGACATTTCTTGGGACTTTCCAGCAAGGTGTGAAAAAAGACTACATACACAGGTATTGCAAACGAGCATGTCAGCCCTCATGCTCTACTGATAGCTGTAGAACTGCATATTAAAAAATAATTAAAAAAAAAAAAGCAAGCAAATACTTCTTACCATGAGACCCTCAGTGTACTGAAACTGAGCTCTGGAACTGTCTTCTGCTGTGGGACTCAGGGGCTTAGGATCAGACATAGAGCGTTGCATCATCTTTGCTGCCTTTGGGCTTGATGGAGGAACCTTGGCAATGTCAGCATGCAGCATCTTCTGAGGGCTGATGTCATCAGTGATGGGTTTTTCATAGGGTACAAATGCTGACTCTATAACTTTGCTTGGCGAAACAGGTGAAATGGGTGAATAGAGAACTTTGGGAGATTTAGGAGGGGAAGGGACTACCTGCAATGTGGAGTCTGGACGAAGGTGGGATGAGTATCCTATCTCTAATGGTGTTGGGCGTTTTTTATCTTTCTGAGGAGATGAAGCTGACAGATATGGGGGACTTTGAGTATCTGACTCTGTCTCTGTTTGACATCCCAAACTTTCTCCTTTATATGTCTTTTCTGGTGCTGAAATGTGCTTTATGATTTCAACCTTAGCATCCAATCGGGCCCTGATTGAAGGTGTTCTTATTGTTCCTACAGGTTCCGTTTGTACTGAAATCTCTGCCACTGTCTGAACTGCAATACTAGATACTTTGGAGAACTGTTTAGCTTTGTCTGCCTCAGTGGTACTCTCACTGTATTTTCCTACACGAGGCTTCCTTCTGGATCTGCTAGAAAGATCCCATTCATCTTGATCTTCATCATCTGTCTGAACACTTGTATCAACACTCTTCTTAGTTCTCCGTCTCCTGTTTGTGTAACCTCTGTCTGCTCCGTCTTCATCATCAGTTTGCACTCCACTGTCCACTATCTTTTTGAAGCACCGTGGCTCTTCTTCCAGAGTCTCCTCAAGCTCCTCATATGGACCACGTAATTTTGGCATCGAACTTCTCTTTTTCAGTTGCTTCTCCTCTCTAACATCAATGTCCTTAAGAGACATTTCTGAAACAGAACTTAGGATACCAGACCTAGGTATGTATTGGGTAATGCCGTCGGACTGAACTGTATACCATGTTTGGCTTTGTGGAATTTCTATACCCAGCACTCCTGAAGACGTAGTGGTTGCATCATCAGTAGGCCAAAACTGGCCATTTTCTGTGGTTGCATACTGTCCTTCCAAAAGTGTTTGATCTGTGGTAGTTTGTGGCGAGCCAGTTCCTGAAGGGTCATAACCATACTGATATATTTGACGAATTTTTTGTTCCTCTAACTGTTGGTGAAGCTGTTGTTGAAGCTGTTGGAATTGTTCAAGCTGCAACTGCTGCTGGGCTAATGTCTCTTGCCTCATCATAAACTGAGCTTGTCGCTCCTCCTCTTGCTGAAATAAGAGATGATGTTTCATGGACTGCAACTCCTCAAGCTTTTTTTGGACCATAAACTTTTCTTGTTCCCTAAATCTTTGAATTTCCTGACGTTCCCATTCCAGCTCTTCTGCAAAGCGCTGCTGCTTAATTTTCTCAAGCTCAAGAAGTTCACGCTCCAAATCAAGCTGCTGCTGTTTGCCTTCTTCAGGGGCAATGAGAAGGGCAACCTCATCTTCAATTACATCTGTATAAACTTCAGATGCTGTAGTTAAAGCAGGTAATAAGTTGGTTGGCTCAGTGGTAATAGTTTCTATAGTAAGAGGTGGTAACCCTGTCTCCATATCAATGGCAGTAATTGCACTATCTTTTTCAGCTGCCACTGTTGTCAAGAAACTGTATGACCTCGGGAGCGGCTGATTCTGTTGCAAAGTTGATAAAGAGGGCACCGAGTCCATTGTTTGTAGAGTAGGTAAATCTCTGGCAGTTGTACTGAAAATAGAACCAGGTTGTGTAGTGATGGCAAATGTGGATGGGATTGGAGTCGCTACTGAAGAATAAACAACACCATTGGATGACCTTAAAACACTTCCAACGCCAAACTGGGAAGCCAGAGATGATACCATTCTTGCTTGGGAATATTGTGGTGTACTGAGCCCGATGCCAGAAATCACCTGCCGAGTCTCTGGATAAGGACCAGTAGTCTTGCTTGAGTAATCCATAACCTCACCTGAAATTACAGGGCAAAGTTACAGTCCAGTCCCACAAAAGAATGCTGCTTTGCGGATTCTGAAAGTCATCCCATCTTGATGAATTAAATGGGAAGGGGAAACTGCATGCAAATCTTCAGGTTAATGATCTACTTTAGATGTGAAGGAAACAGCATTTCTGAACATGCAGGCACATGCAGGCACCTCTGTGCAAAACACATATGTAAAATGAAGAAATGAAAAACACGTGTAATCCAGAATAACTTGTCACACTGTCCAAAAGAAAACAAAACAACAGAAAGAGGGGAAAAATAATAAAAAAATCATCCTGAAATGAGGTGAGGAACATCAAAATTATATTTCAAAGAAAGATCTGCTGCTGCGTCATACTGACCTGTAGTAACTCTTCCAGAAGTAAGATCTACTGCTGCATCAGTTGCCCCAACTCGATAATCAAAGCTATTCTTGCTTTTGTATGCAAACAGTCCAGCTTCAGATAAATTTGTGTCAGACATAGATGGTTTCATACCTCCCATTCCTCGGTAGCCATATGACCCTGAACGATCATATTGATAATGGTCATCTCTGTAACCAAAGCGATCTTCAGGAAGTGTAGTTGGTGGCTGCTGTGCTGTACAGCTCCTACCAAATGGCAATTTATAAACCATATCACAGCAGACAGCTCTTCTCCCTGCAGTCAGATCCACAGGCTTTTCATCATCTTCTATTACTGTCGTTATGATACCTGAAGTAGCTTCATCCATTGTTACTACTGTTCTGTGGGATTTTGTAGTGCTGAGGTCAACTGCTCCACTCTCCATCAGCTCCTGAGAAGTGGTGAGATCAGTCCAACCATTTGTAACACCAACAGGTGGTACAGTAACAGGCTTTGTTACTGCCCATGTCACTGCATGTGTCGAAGTACCTAGGGATAAATTTATTGGCACCTCATCTCTAGCTGCAGAGAATGCCTGGCTGCCTGTTACTCTGTATGAAGGCTCAAAATGTTTTGATGTTGTTAGCTGAAGTGGCGTTGTCATCGCATGTCCCAGATCCACAAGGCTGTCTGTACTGGTAGTGTAGCTTACAGTGGCAGTGCAGGTCACTACAGTTACTGTCTCAGTGACTACAGACAGAGAAGGATCGGCAACACACGCAGTGCTAAGATTTATTATAGCTGGCTGGACAGTACTTACTGGCCGCCCACATGTATCACTTGCTGGCATTTGCCTTCTTACATCCATGGAAACAGCAGACAGATCCATACAGCTGTCTCTCATTGCAATATCCATCTTAGTTAAAGTGCGAAGATCTATGACATCACCCAAAGGATGGAATCTTCCATTCTCTCTATACCTGGGTTGATCTACTATATGTAGTGGCTCTGGAGGTATAGTAATAGCCACACTACCTACACCAAAACCAGGCACTGGGCCCTTAACCATAGAAACTGTCGTCTTGGTTACCGCTGTTGTTACTACTTCTGATTTTGAACTAGGTATTTTTTCAAAAGCTGATTGTGTTGTGACAGGAATAGCTTGCAAAGCACCTGAAATATACATACTCTGATCTGCCATACTTTGAATTTCCATAGTTTTCATGGATGGAGTAAAAATTGGTGGCATAGGCTGAGGAATCTGTTCTTTAGAAGGTGCTTCTAAAGGCCAGCTGGTAACAGCCTGACTAGTTATAGCTTCTGTTGGAGTTCCAGGCTCAGATGGCAATGTGATGACAACATAAGTTTCCTGTGAGGGTTTTGTCAACCTTGGTGATGATTTGTTAGAGTGTGGAGACAAAGGGGAAGTGGGAGATGCTATTTTGTATTCAGCTGCAGGGACCAAATTCAGAGTCATACTTGAAGTCAATGACAAACCTATTGGTTTGGGCTGTGTTTCTGCTGGCTTGTGAACAGCTATTGGGAGCGGAGGAATTGCTGGTTTAGGAGCAATTGGAGGTTTAGTTACTTCAGCAGGCCTGTGACTGAAAACAAGCCCTGCTGGAATGGAGGATGGTTTGGGTGGTACAGGAGGTGGTGTTGGGGTGTATGTTTTTGTGATAGGTACCACATGATTCTTTAATGCAGCTGTGGACTCTAATGTTGGAACACTTGTGACTGAAGGTACCACTGTGGGAGCTGTTGCTGCTGGAGTCTTAATCTGTGACTTCTTTTTGGGATAAATGGCTGGCTTGGGTAAAATAGGTGGAGGTAATGGTGGTGGAGGAGGTGGTGGAGGAGGAGGAGGTGGGGGTGGAGAAGGTTGTGCAGGAGAATCCAAAGAAGAGCTTCTAAAAAGCGAGAATACTTTGGATGTTACAGCAGGAGCTGAGGAAGGCACAGAGACCATGCTGGTCTTACTTACAACACTGGGAGTAGGTACAGAAGATGTTTCTGATGCAGGCTCTGTAACTGGTACTGACGCTATACATACAGGTGGTTGCTCAGATGTAGCACTAGTCAAATTAATCCTTGCCATATCAACACCAAATTCTTTGTGTGAATCTTCAGGATGAATTTTGACAATGCCAGCCTCTACTGTACTTTTCATTTTTCTAGCTGCTTCCTTTTCTGCTTTGGAGGTATCAAAGGTAATGGTATCAGTTGCATATTGCTTAGGTTTTATAACTGTAGTTGCCACTACTGAAGGTGCAGTTTCAGGCAAACAAACTGCAGCTCGATCCACACTTTCCATATCTGATGCTACAAATGGCTTTTTTGTGGCTCCAGCAACAGATTCATAAGGCATACTCACTTCAGAGTACTCTTTTGTACGTGTTAAGGGAGCTTGGGTCATTACCTTGACACTTTCAGAATCTGCTAGTTTACTTACAGCATCTGCTGTATCTACATAACATGTAGTTGCACTATCTATAGGTGATGAACTATCTGTGGTACAAACCGAAGACGTAGATGATGTTAAGGAAGCTGTATCAGAAGGTAAAACTGATGCAGCACCTTCCGATGTCTCAGAGTATGTCAACATTGACGTTTCATGAGAAATTATTTCTTGAATTTCTCTGGCATAATCTGTTAAGTATTCATCTTCAATTTCCTCTGCTGTAAAATGCTGTGTTATCTTAACATCTGGAATAGAAAGAGCTGTGCTACTGACAGGTGATACATCTGAGATTGCTGAAGTAGTGCTTGATGTTAAAGACGTACTATCCACTATTTCTCCAACACTAGATACTTTTGTATCGGTTGTGGGAATGAAACCTGAAGTTGGTTGTGTTGGACTGGACCCAGGGGTTAGCTGCATTCTCTGTCTTTTCATAAGCTCTTCATAAGCAGCTTCTGCATCTAACAACTGCTTTTCCTCAGTGGTGGAAGTTACCGTGCTGTCTAATACAACTATTTCATGACTTTCTGGAATAATGTAAGAACTAGAAACAATATCTTCTTGAGGCACAATAGAATGTAAAGTCTCAACACTATAGTAGTCTTTCTCTACATCAGTAATTTTCTGTGATTCTTCATAGATCTGTTCTGAAGCTCTTATTTTTTTCTCTTTTCCTCTCTGTTGTATGTATTCACTGCTCTCATCTTGTCTCATTACCAGATTAGTATCAATAGTTCCATTGTAAGTATCCTCTACTAAAGATTCATAAATATAATCCTCTATTAGCATTCCACCATATAAAGATTCTTTTTCAAACACTTCATCTTTTTCACTTGCAATTTGAAATGACTTGGACTTATGGGTCTTATGCATCATCTCCTCATATACCTCTTCGGCGCTTTTCAATGTCTTTTGACTACTTTCTTCTTTTGGGAGTCCAGTTGGTTGTTCATCTGTTGGTGAGTATAGAGAGACAGCAGTAGGCAATTTGTAAACCTTTTGCACTTCTATTATTTTTTCTGGGCTGATTTCAAATCCTTCAGGATCTGACTCAATACTAGGTGAATACTCAGAACAGGAAGATCTGTGCAGCTCTTCCATTTCTGCTGCCTGTCTTAATTCTTCTGTTGGAGATGCATCTTCAATGGGAGAAAGATTACTTGGTGGAGTCTTTGGACGTTCCCTTCTTCTCTGAGCTCTTAGTTCATCCTTGTCCTTTTTAGATTTTTTGCTAGAACTTTTTCTTTGTTGCTGCTCTAATTCACGCTGTTTCTCTTGTTCTTTTAGCAGTTCTTCCTCTTCCCGTAGTTCTTCTTCTTCTGAAGAATCTTCAATAGTTGGAAGAAGAGGGCCATGTGACCGATGCCTGGCTTTGCGCTGTTGTTTGCTCTCCCCACCCAGTTTTTTGTGACTAGGACTGCTGTCACTATCTTCATCAAGTGATGATACTGAAGTGGGAGATGTACCTGGTGTGAAACTAGAAGCGTGTAAGCTAGAAGACCCTTCTCCTCTAGATCTATCTTCTGGTGAATCTGTAAGACTCTCCATCTCCAGCTCAGGCTCTTCATCAAAATACAGAATACCTTTCTGTTGTTCAGATGCTTCAGAATACTTGTTTGTTATTGTACTATTTAATTCTATTGTTTTGAAACGTCGAAGGCCTCCTCCTCCAGCTACTGCAAGTTCTTCACTGTCTTGACTTTTAGTTTCCCTGTATTTTGGCTCTGGGCTTTCATCAAAAGTCTCATCATCATCATCATGCCACGAATGTCTTCTTCCTGCATCCTCATCATAGCCTGCACTACTTTTCCGTGCCATTCTTCTATGTTTTCCAGCTGTTCCTTTGGCTTTGGTTTTCACTTCTTCTTTCTTTTGGCTTTCAGTTACACTGATCTCTTTGAGTTGATTTCTAATGAACTCATCATCTTCAGAACCTGAGGCATCCTCATCAGCACTCATCTCTATAATCTGTTTCCTAATGAAGTCTTCCTCATCACCCGATCCCTGACTGTCATCTCGTTTGTACTCATCACTGCTTGAAGAACCAACACTAGCTCTTCTTTTTCTCCTTGGAATGGGTGAGTTTTCACTCTCACTGCTGTCTTCCACAGAATCATAGCGTTGTCTTCTTGCCAATATGTCATCTCCTTCATCTTCTTCCTTGTAGTCTGCCCGGGAGGAAGAACTTCCTTTGCCATCTTCTACAATGGTTCCTTCACCTTCTTGAATAGCTTCTAAGTCTTCCTCATCTGAACTATAAGACTCTGGAGTGACTGGCAAAGGTTTTGGTTTTTGTTGATCCTTTGTCTGTTCACTATACATTTCATAAAGCTCTTTACTTTTCACAGATTTTTCATCAGAAAGTGTACTTGCCTGAGCTTCCAAAATAGACAGTACCGTACTTTCCAATTTAGCTAGATCTGAGGGGCTTGGTGGACTTTCTTGTGAAATAGTGTCTTTTTTATTAGATTCTCTGAGTAAATCCTTTTCATCACTGGGGATATGACTTGGAATTTCACCAAGTGAACTTGATATCCCATCAGAAGAATACCCGGTGTCACTCAGACCTTGTGGACTTTTCTGCTGCTGAGAGCTTGATGTGTCTGATTTGTCATCCTCCTTTTCCTAAAAAAATAAATACATACGTGTATGTATATACTTATATATAAAATCTTAATGTCTCCAGGCAATTAAATACATGTGATATTTATAGTAAAAATGAGTTAATGTCTCAGATGAAAAATTATGATGCCAAGAGAAGCTATATTAAACCATAAAAGACTGAACACTAATTTCGTTATTCAAAGCTATAAAAATAATAAAAAAGTTCCCCAAATTTTGAGGTTTTGCATTGAATCTAACTATGCTTTCCATGTCTGTCCACACTGGCAACTGATTTTATTAGTTGTAAGATGATCTGTATTTTTCAGTATAAACAAATATTGTATTTAACTGTTTTCAGAACACTTGCTAACGATAATCTATCATTTCTTCACATATGCATGGGACAAGCTATTTAGGGGTTAATTTAAATGAAGATTTTAATTATCTATGTTTCCAAACTGCCTAGATATAAAGTAATATAGCTTGCCAAATGTCAGCCTGCAGTATTTCTGGCGTCTGCTCTTTTCTTTGCCCATTTAATCTTTTATAACTGTCTAGCAGTATGTCAGTCTTCTCAAATTGGGGGCCTATGGTTTCATTTTGTTGATTTAAGTGTTACATATTGTAACATGCAACAGAATACGTGCAGTATTGAAGCATGTATTAATGCAATTTGGAATGTCCCCATATCTGCAGTTTGGCACTGTACAAACACTTTCTGAGTACCCCATAAAAAGGAAGTTTCTCAGTAAATTTGTAACGTAGAGGTAATCTGACAGTAGGGAAATGTAACTGCAGGGAGGAAAGCAAGATGGTCAGCTATGGATCAAAGGAAATAAAGAAGCGAACAAGGTAAGCATATCTGACTGAGCATCACAACCAATGTTTTCCTTCTCATCCCTAATTAAACATCCTTAGTCATTCTCATAGCTTCTAGATCCTTCTACACCATTCTGAATAACAAGCACCTCTATCTCCTTCTTTAGATAACAAAAACACCAAGACTATGCTACAGCAAGTATTTCCACAACAGTTTCCCTCCTGCTTCTCTCAACTGGGAAATGCTCTATACTTAGTGAAAGTACCTCACCATTCAGCTAACAAAACAGCTCACTCCCCAAATGACAGGTCATCTTAGCTGACAATCTGAAAAAGTATCCCCACTTCCACTAGCAATTGGAGAAAAAGCATAACAAAGTTGCCTGATTTTAATAATAGGATGTGATCTTTGTAGTTGTTATGGCCCTCAATAATACAAGTAGGTAGTATTTAGCAACTTTGCTAATCTACGTCAATGATTTCAGAATTACAGAAAACCATTTATTTAAAGCTTTAATTTATCAACTTCCTTGCAATATGCTGAGTTAAAAAAACACTGTGAATTAAATATATTAAGAAAATTATGACAACAGTTAATTACAATTTAAAGGTACATTTACACTCATAACAAGTTGCTATCGATCACAAGTATTTTCAAATATTCAGACTAAAGTTATATTTAACTTCAGCTTTCAACCAAAATAGTGTAAAACAAATATTTGTTATTGACTTTTTTTAAAAAAAAAAACCTAGCCAGGTTTTTCCATTATTTAATTTAGATTTGAAGTACCTGTTCTTGCCTATAGATATATCACTGTGCACATAATCACAGGATCACAGAATGTTAGGGGTTGGAAGGGACCTCAAAAGATCATCTAGTCCACCCCCCCTTCCAGAGCAGGACCACCTAGAGTAGGTCACACAGGAACGTGTCCAGGTGGGTTTTGAATGTCTCCAGAGAAGGAGACTCCACAACCTCTCTGGGCAGTCTGTTCCAGTGCTCTGTCACCCTCACAGGGAAAAAGTTTTTCCTTAGTTAATGTGGAACCTCCTATGCTCCAGCTTGCACCCGTTGCCCCTTGTCCTATCATCAGCCATCGCCAAGAAGAGCCCGGCTCCATCCTTCTGATGCTCGTCCTTTATGTATTTATAAACATTGATGAAGTCACCCCTCAGTCTCCTCTTCTCCAAGCTAAAGAGACCCAGCTCCCTCAGCCTTTCATCCTATGGGAGATGTTCCACCTCCTTCATCATCTTTGTGGTTCTGCGCTGGACTCTTTCTAGCAGTTCCCTGTCCTTCTTGAATTGAGGGGCCCAGAACTGGACACAATATTCCAGGTGCAGTCTCACCAGGGCAGAATAGAGGGGGAAGAGAACCTCCCTCGACCTACTGACCACACCCCTTCTAATACACCCCAGGATGCCATTGGCCTTCTTGGCCACGAGGGCACATTTCTGGCTCATGGTCATCCTGCTGTCCACCAGGAGCCCCAGGTCCCTTTCCCCTACGCAGCTCTCCAACAGCTCAGCCCCCGACTTATAATGGTACATGGGGTTGCTCTTTCCCAGATGCA